CCTTTGAATTTTAGGTGGGCTCATCTTTCCGTTTTTATTACTTTTTCTAGCTTGGATTTTTGTTGCATTTTGGTGAGGATTTGTGTTTAGTTTTTATACGAACAGGTGATCACAAGATACCTGCGCACAGGTTTTGGTCTCAAGTTGCTTGGAACATTGAAAGAGAGGTAATTAAAAAGAAATAAGAAAAAGGGGGTCAGCATTTGGCTTTTAAGAGAGGGTTTTTGGGAAAATTTTACTAGAGCTTGAGTGGTGGTACAAGGTACAGTGAATCAAGAAGTCCCCATAACGAAGAAGAAAGAGGTCCCACCGCTCAGACACTTGTCAACAGTCTTGGGACAGTGCCAAAGAAGTCCTGGGACAGTGTTGGACCAGAACAGTCTTGATACAGTCTTGGAACAGTGGTCTTTGGACAGTGGTATTGGGACAAGGGTCTTGGGACAGGGTCTTGGGACAGTGGCCTTGGGACAGTGGTCTTGGGACAGTGGTCTTGGGACAAGGGTCTTGGGACAGGGACTTGGGACAGTGGTCTTGGGACAGTGGTCTTGGGACAGTGGTCTTGGGACAAGGGTCTTGGGACAGGGTCTTGGGACAAGGGTCTTGGGACAGTGGTCTTGGGACAGTGGTCTTGGGACAAGGGTCTTGGGACAGGGTCTTGGGACAGGGGTCTTGGGACAGTGGTCTTGGGACAGTAGTCTTGGGACACTAGCCTTGGGATAGTAGTCTTGGGACAGTAGTCTTGGGACACTAGCCTTGGGACAGTAGTCTTGGGACACTAGCCTTGGGACACTAGCCTTGGGACAGTAGTCTTGGGACACTAGCCTTGGGACACTAGCCTTGGGACACTGGTCTTGGGACACTGGTCTTGGGACACTAGCCTTGGGACAGCGGCCTTGGGACACTGGTCTTGGGACACTAGCCTTGGGACAGTAGCCTTGGGATAGTACTCTCAGGACAAGGGTCTTGGGACACTGACGAAGTACTGGGACAATACCGAACAGTCTTGGGACAGTAGAAAGAAGCCTGGGACGGTACAAAGAAGAGTAGGGACGGTAACTGGAAGTCTTAGGACAGTATAAAAATTGAAGTAAAATTACAACAAGTTGTTTTAAGACAGAATTAAGACAGAACAAGACTAATTGGAACCCGGTACGGTTGGGACCACAAATAAAGAAAGTTACTCAAAGATTTTAGAGAACTGGAACAAGGTTTTTATCACGTTGTATATTTTCTTTTAAGAATTTGTTTCCACAAAATTTTTTTTATTCTTAGAATAGAATTGTGTATATAATAATATTGTAAATAAGAGCAATTGTAAATAGAAATAATGAGACGGAGTAGGGTACCGGTGCTTGAAAAAAGGTCAAGTGGATCAAACACGAAATATAACTCGTCGCTGCGTGGAACGACATCAAGGGGCCCAAGCAAAACAAAAAATAACTTTTCAGTTAGCATGGTCAGCACGATGTGTGGCACCGAGAGCAAGACGCGAGAAGATGCGAGGGAAAAACAGGTGGAGCCTACAATCGAAATCGACCTAGAGACACCAGACCAGAGCGTAGATGAACTGGAGAAAAAGACGACGGAGTCAACTCCAATGCCCAATGCAGAAGAACCAAACCCGAAACCCATAGAGTTCTCACCAATAGACAATGTGGAAGATGCAATAGGCAATACCGAAGAAACGGTGAAAGAAGACTCTCAAGTAAAAAAGACATCTTTTACAGAAAGGTTGGCGATGATGGTCGGAATAAAAACGAAAGAAAACATGACTGAAGAACCAAAAGCTGAAAGAGCACGAACATTTGGGACAGTGAGCACGAAGACGACAGAAGCCAATCAAAGAGAGGAACAAAATAAAGCAGAAGCTACGGCCGAAGACAGACCGACGGCTGACCATGAAGAGGCTACTATTGAGCTAGGTGACTTGATGGCGAAACTGAATCAGATCGACAAAAAACTGAAGCACAGCAAAGAGGACAGAGAAGCGATAAGAAAAGAATTAAGATACAACAAACACGAGTATCTGGATAGTTATTTTAACCTGGCTAAGGCAACAGATGAGAGACTCAAGGAGATGTCAGATAAGGTAGAAACCACCAATGAAGAACGAGATAAGAACATCAAAAAAGATATGCAACAGTTGAAAAACCGATATGATGATGTCAACAGCCAATTAGGTAGCCTGGAAAAGAGAATGGACACAATGAGCAAGAATCAGGCCGAAAGTTCATGTGCAATACAGACGAAATTGGATGCAATCTTAAGAAATTCTACCTCACAAGAAAGACCAGCAGCGGATCGCACGCAAGGCACCAGAGTTGACTTTGTGGAACCACAAAGGGGCAAACGGCAATCGACACCGTTGCCCTTAACCCGGGATACGGTGAGCATAGCACCAACAGCTGCTAAAACAATCATGAAGAATGGAACGTCAAGAACAACGACTTGCCCGGGGGACTCAACAGCTAACAGCAACGCAGGTCCGGATGCTATGACATGGGCAAGCACTTGGGCTATGAAAGTGCGAGGAACACTGACTCGAGCGATAGGAGGGACGGAAAATCAAGAAAAACTTTCAAGAAGCCAAAGGAATTCAAAGACGACTCCGATGGATGCATCGACACTTGGGTGGAAGTGATGAGATTACACCTAGAGCAAGATAACTTAAATGATGAAAGACAAGCATGCACAGCCATACTCAGCAACTTAGAAGGCACGGCATTAAAATGCGTGGTCGCAAAGAAAGAAGAAGAACGCGACACCGCGGACAAGATCTTCGAGATATTGCTGAATCGATTCGGGTCAGGCATGAAGGGTCACCAAGCGATGATGCGATTTGAAAAGAGAAGGCAGAGGGACGACGAGTCAATAGATCGGTTCCTAGATGACCTCGAGAGCTTGAGAAGAAGGAGTGACCCAGAGGAGTCGACAAACAGAAGAAACTTTAGCATTGCCTCGAAGTTCATTGATGGGGTAAAAAGTGACGACCTAAGGACAATGTTAGCAACATACTACACATTGTCGAAAGACAGCGCACCACCCCAGAAGAAATGAGACAGAAATCAAGGGAATACATGCTGATGAAGTGCAAGAAATACTCATATTCAGAAAACAGGAACACACAGGGGGGAGGCCAACCCCAGAGGTCATCATGGTACAAACCTAGAGATGATATGGACAAGCGCAGATCATGCGCGAACTGCGGGTCAGCGGACCACCACGTGGCTGACTGCACAACATACAAACAAGGCATGAAGAGCCTAGGATACGCACCGGATGAGCAGGACATGAGCCAGATGGAGGAACACGAGTACTATAGTGGCTTAATCATCAAGATAGGCGCAAGATGCTTCTTCTGTAACCAGGAGGGGCACTTCAGAATGGATTGTCCCTTGTTCTGGGAAGCGGTCAAGGACCAGAGTCACCCCAAACATAAGTTGGCATTAGCGGCAGTGCAGAATCAGCGGAATAGACAAAACGAGATTGAATCTAGGAACTTAGGAGCACCAAGCACGGAATTGCCGACGAAAACAGTGAAAGCTGTAACACATGTTAATGGTGCGATAGAGTCCGCGGCCAGGAACTCTCTAGAGATAAACTATGAGAAAGCGGCAACGGAAGCAATTGCCAAAGTGAAACAGGATCTGGCTGCGAAAGAAATAGAGCAACGACTGAAGCTGGAGATCGAAAGACAGAATTTCAATGAGGCATTAACCGGATCAAACCCAACACCAGAGGCTGTACCAGGCTCAACAAAGACCGAGAATTGTAACACTGTAAAAATGGTGACGGGAAAGCCATTCGGCATATCGAAAATCGGGGCTAGATTAATGTCGATAATCACAGTGGGCGGCCACGAGGTAACCAGAAACTTGAGCGAACCGAGCGACCAGACAATAATGCACATTGACGTGTACGCAGATTACTTGAGTTGTATAAGCCCACAAACGACTTCTAGAGCGCTGAGAGCACTACTCACGAGAGGGGGCAGCAAGTCGGTCCGTGTTGACAACAGGTATACTGAAGCTTATGGTCCACACGAGGTGATGCTAAATATAGATGGAATAAACATCTATACCAAGACAATGATAACATGTGACGAAGACCTAATTGGGCAAATCTACGTAGGGAAAGAAGAGTTGAAAGTGAGATTGATTGGACACTGCGCTATGCTTGAAGAAGATGCGATGCACATCGGGACAGAGGCAGATGTGACAGGGCACGTGCTAGACATAAGTGGCAAAAAGACTCAACTACGTGGGCTACTTGATACGGGAGCAGTCTTGAGCGTCATACCAATCGAAACTTGGGAGCGGATGGGCTTTGACAAAGGTGATTTGATAGATTCGAGAATACGGCTGTCAGCAGCAAACAAAGGGGCCCTTCGGGTGCTGGGCAGGACGCCGATAATAGCCCTCAACTTGGGGGAACGTAACCTGTGGATGAGCTTTATCGTGGTAGAAAACCTAGATGAATCTGACCAATTCATTTTGGGGAGAGACTTCATCAGGAATATCGACGTAACGATTGACCTAAATAACGCAATGTTCAGGATACGGAACCCGGATAGGAGGTACGCAATCAAACCGGTAAATTTAATAATGGCAAATGAAAACAAAGCACCGGTATTCTTGAGTAGGAGGGTGAGGCTAAAAGCTAATGAAGCGGCAATCGTAAGCTTGAGGATGAAAAACTACAATGAGCTAAGTGACAACAAGCAAGTGTGTATAGTTCCGAATCCTAATAGTCAAAGTGATGCTGTTTTAGGAAGATCATTTTCGATAACGAAGAGCGGCCTCTGCGTCAGTGTCTTGTTGAATACCCTTGATATACCGATCACGATACAGAGAGGGAGGAAACTGGGATATGCTTTACCGGTTAAAACTCGATATGAAACAATTGAGAACTCAAAACAAAATGAAGTTTTTGATTGTCCCAATCACAGGGACAAAATTTGTATCTTGAGACGATTGCAGAAAATAAAAGATTCTTCAGGTCTTATTAAATCACTTAAGTCAGAAACGGACGATGGGCTGTCGAGCTGTTCGAACTTTCCAGAGCGACCCACACTAGATGAAATGCAAACTGATAAACCGGTTCTGCCGGAGATTGAACATTTGAGGGGCAAACTGAAAGATGAACAGCTCGAAGCCATCAAGGACGTACTAGAGCGGAACGAGGAAGTTTTTTCGAGGCATAAGGCGGATATCGGGTGTTGTAACTTCGTTGATCATGAAATAGAACTTGAGGAAAACGCGGTACCACACAGGGAGGGGGCGAGGCGCATGACCCCACACAAATCGGACGCGTGTAGAAAAGAAATCGAGACGTTACTAGAGTATGACATGATAGAACCATTCAAGTCACCGTGGGCGTGTGGAGTAGTGATGGCCAAAAAGAAAGGCGACCAGTTGAGGTTTTGTTGTGATTTTCGATACCTGAACTCCGTCACGGTGAAGGATGCCTATCCCATACCTAGATTGATGAGAGCCTCTCGAAGTTAGGTGATGCAAAATTTTTTACGACTCTTGATTTAGGCTCGGCCTTTTGGCAAGTACCACTAAGGAAGCAGGACAGGGACAAGACAGGGTTTGCCTGCGAGTTGGGTCTGTTTCAATGGAAACGGATGCCGTTTGGACTTTGCAATGCCACAGCCACGTTTCAGCGATTGATGGCACACGCGCTGATAGGCGTAACGAAGAAGTATGGCAACCTGGTAATGTGCTACGTGGATGAAGTGGTAATAGCGACGCCAACACTGGAAGACCACATTGAGAGACTTGACGAAGTGTTTGCATGCATGAAGAGGTCGACGCTAAAGTGTAAACCATCAAAGTGCGAGATACTCAAGGACTCAATAAAATACTTGGGCAGGATGGTAGACAAGCACGGCATCAGACCTGGAACGGACGCCGTGGAAGCAGTCTTGACCTGGAAATCACCGAAGACGGAGCACCAGTTGATGAGCTTCCTGGGTTTCGCTACCTATTATAGAGAGTTCATCAAAGGCTATGCAGACAAGGTATACCCGATGCAACAATTAATGAGACACAAGGGCAAGAAGTTCACGTGGAACAACGCAGCAGAAGAGTCATTCCAGAGAATAAAGAAAAAGCTATGTGAGGCACCAGTACTGGGTATGCCGACTGAGAAAGGGATGTACGTGCTGGACACGGATGCGTCGGTAGTCGCGATTTCTGGGATTCTCCACCAAGAACAAGAATGGAATGGGAAGACAGTCTTGAGACCAATAGCGTACGGGAGCAAAGTCCTGAGTGACACAGAAATGAAGTACGGAGCACCAAAAGCAGAGATGTTCGCGGTGGTTACCTTTGTCGAGAAATACAGGGCATACCTGGGCAGTGAGCCATTCAAGTTGCGAGTCGACAATCGAGCACTGAGCTGGCTGAAAACGTACTCAATGGACCAAAGTTACATTGGGAGGTGGATAGTTCGCCTGGACGGATACAACATGATAATTGAGCATAGAACGCGAGATAAACATCAGAATGCCGACAGCTTGAGTAAGAAGACGGAGTTCTATGAGAGACAAGAGCAAAGACAAGCAGACAGACCTGAAATCAAAGATGGCTTCTCATTCATGGACAAGGAAACGTACGACAGTCTTCCACTCACGAGATGGCTGGACAAGTCAGGCAAACCGATAGAAGATCATCCTGAATTGCCTAAAGAGCCTCCGGAGAAGACCATCTTGAAGAAGAGCAAGAGGATTCCGATTGAGATTATACTCAAGTCGAAGATCGTGAAGGAGACGCTCAAGGCAAAAGGCTATGATCTTAACCAGGTGGAAGCAGGAACTGCACAGATAGATGATGACTTAATGAGGTTGCTCGAGAAACTATCAGATGATAAGCCCGTGATCCAAGAGAAGGGTCAAGAGGAACCGGAAGTCACTATACTTCGGAGAAAAGAGACAGTGAACGATACTGACTCATCAAGAGGAAGCGTCACTGACAGCAAAGATGTCGTGCGGTCACTAGTTGACAAAATCCCCGAAGACATTCTGGAGCAGACCAAGGTTAGGAAAAAGAAAGTGACGTTTAAAGAAGATACTGAACACCTGGGACTAGGTCAAGAGTCCGGGGAGTGTTCCAGGTTCACGGAAGAAGGAACCAGAGAAGGAAAATTGTCCGGGGAGCGTGAAGGATGGGATGAAGACTCGGATGAGAGCAGCGAAAACCAAGACAGTCTGTGCATGATATTGGCGGAAGAGAAGACAAGGCACCACGACAGGGAGTTACAGACGGATCCATCTTCAGGAACATACAACATGGACATACAGGAGATGCGAGGTGGTGAGGAACTGGAGAAAATTGCGGTTGCAAGGAAACCATTCAGGGAACTATCATGCAACTCAAACATCAGAACGAATGTGGTGCCAGAAGATGATATGAAAATCGTGAAAAGGATGATATGTGTGAAACTGAGTGATGACATCCACAACCCTGGTGAGATGAATGGACAGATCATGGCGCTAAAGGAGCATGTTAAGGCGAGATATAGGCTGTCAGACCTAATAAGAGCCCAGAAGAATGACAAAATGACAAGTAACCTCTCCAAATGGATCCAGTCGGGGGTCAAGGAGAAGGGGGAACTTGAGGAAGACAGCTACAAGATCTTGAGCCAGTTCTACAAAGAAAAGAAAGACTTACTTTATCACACAGGTGATGGGGTGGTAGCGTGCAAGAGGAGAGATGAGGAAAAGATATTACACAAACACAACCTCATCATACTACCACAATTGTACCAGACGGAGGTGCTCTTCAGATCACACGACCAGATGGGCCACCAGGGGATAGACAAAGTACAACAAAGGATACTTCACAGGTTTGATTGGCCAGGAATGAGAAAAGCTTGCGAGAGATGGGTGAATGCCTGCCTGGCATGTCTCCAGGTAAAAGACCCAAGGAAGATGAAGTTTCCCCTCAAGTCCGTTGAGAGCTCAGAGTTCAATGAAGTGGTGCAGATAGACCATCAAAAAATCTGCATGACAGAGTCGGGATATAACCAGATACTGGTTATAATAGATCACTTCACAAAGTTGGCGGAAGCGGTTCCGTGCCAGACAGCCTCGGCCGAAGAGACATGTGATCATTTGATAACGCATTGGATATCGCGGTATGGTTGTCCTATGACTTTCCAGTCGGACAACGGCAAAGCTTTCATGGGGTACTTGACAAAAGAATTGATGAAGAGGTCGCACATTGCTCAAGCACACTCGACGACCTATCATCCACAGACCAATGGGTTGGTAGAGAGACAGAACAGGACACTGGTCAACATGTTAAGGGTGTACTGCTCAAGATACATGACGGACTGGGACAAATACCTGCCACAGGTAGTAGGAGCCTACAACAGTACACAGCACTCAACGACGGGCATCAGTCCTTTCATGATGTTGACGGGCAGGGAGAGAGCAATGCCTCTGACATTCTTTTACCCGGAATACAAAGGGAAAAGGACGTCGCCTCAGGCATACGTGAAAGAAGCGATCAAAAGACAACAGGAGTTGAACGAGCTATGCAGGAGGAACACGGCGCAAGCGCAAATGAGGCAACGCAGGAAATATGACGAAAAAATATTACGAGCAAAGCCATATGAAGTGGGCCAATACGTATGGGTCTTCCAAAATGTCATACCGCCCAAGGGAACAAAGAAACTACTCAAGAAGTGGAGGGGACCATTCATGATAACGGATATTCATCAACAAGGACGGTTCTATCGCTTGAGTACTGGGCGAGCGGCACATTATGAAAATCTGAAGCCTCACGTCCCGTCCCCAGAGGATTGGTGCATACCGAAATACATGGAGGGTCTTGAGTACCTGGTGGTAGAGCCAGCGTGTGAAGTGAATGAAAAAGGCACCAGAGAGAAAAATGATGGTAATGAGAACTTGAGTTTGGACGACAACGAAAAGATAGGAGGGGAGTCTGATGCAGGATCATTTGTAGAAGAAGACTGGAACGACCCGGAGCAAGATGAGGTGCCGAAGTGGATGGAGCCGGATCGACCGACACCACCGGAAACCAGGACTGGCAATCGTAAACGCACCGGCATGAGGTACAACAGGTACGGGGATGACTTCTTGATCGATAAGATACAGCCAGACAAATTGGGCGAGGAACTACTGAGCGCAGGCGAACTGGAAGCCGGAGAGGAATGGCAGGTCATTGACGATGGTGGACACTATCCGCAGGAAGACCACTCGACGCCGGAATTAGAGACGAATCTCGAGCAGAGTGAGATAGAGAGGAGGGAGAACACGAACTTGAGGATACTAGAGTGGATGCGCGATGTCAAAGACGAGAGCCACGAAGGACAAAGCATTCAACAAGTCGATGTATCAGCGGCAAATTACATGAAGACAGAGGACCCTCTTTTCGGCTGGACGGCAACAGACAGGCCACTGGACATTCCTCAGGACAATTCAGACCCGACAACATCGACGGGGACGTCGATAAATATTTTTGTCCGGGGAGTGGGGGTAGGACTTACCCACACCGAAAACTTGATGATAAAGAGGCTCAAGGAAGTGAGAGAAACAAGCGAATTGGAACTGGAAGAAGAAGAGCCGGAGCCTACCATAGGTCGGAATTTCAAAACGAAATTTGAAATACCCAATGAGTACTCGGAGAACATCATGATAACGGATAGTGACTTCATCCTGTCAAACAGGACTAGCGCGATCTGCATCACGGCGGACATGAGTTTCAAATCAAGATTGGAAGCTGACTTCAGAAGAGAGTACCAGAACGTGGAGTTTCTGTTCAGACAGAGACCAGGACTAGGAGCGCTTCCACCATCAGTAGCACAAGTCCCGGGCAAATATCTGTGCTTCCTAGTGACGAGGGTCAATGACAGGAACACAATTGATCCCGAACACGTGATGTTGGCACTAACAAGACTACGAGACTTCATGACTGAAAGAGGAATAACGGAGGTCTCAATGCCGGTGTATGACCCAAACAGGGGCAAACTGAGCTCGA